AAAAAAAAAAAGAATAAGTGATGGCTCACACCTATAATCCCACCACGTTGGGATTTGAGGTGGGAGGATTACTTGAGCCCAGGAGTTAGAGACCATCCTGTGCAACACAGTGAGACCCCATCTTTACAAAAAATAGGATCATTAGCCGGGCATGTAGTCCCAGCTACTCAGGAAGCTGAGGCAGGAAGATTGCTTGAGCCCAGGAGGTTGCAGCTGCACTACGCCAAGGTCATACCGCTGCACTCCAACTTGGGCCAAAAAGTGAGACCCTGTCTCGTAAAGAAAAAGAGAGTAAGTGTTAGAGCTGGCAATGGGGAGAAATTGGAGTGCTCTGCTGGTGGGAATGTAAAATGTATGGCCACTTTGGGGAACACGCTGTCATTTCTTCAAGCAGTTAAACGTAGAATTACCATGCAACCAGGAGATTTCATTCTAGGTGTCCTAGTCCATTTTGTGTTACTATAACAGTAGCTGAGACTAGGTAATTTATAAAAAACAGATTTATTTCTTACAGTTTTGGAGGCTGGGTAGTCCAAGATCAAGGGGCTGGCATCTGGTGAGGGCCTCCTTGCTGTATCATCTCATGGCAGGACCTGGAAGGGCAAGAGAGAGTGAGGGAGAGGGAGAAAGAGACTGAACTCACCACCTCAAGCCCTTTGATGATTGGCATTAATCCGTTCATGAGGGTGGAGCCCTCATGACCTAAATACATCTCATTAGGCTGTACCTCCCAGCACTGTTGTACTGGGGATTAAGTTTCCAACATACGCTTTTTTGGGGGACATATTCAAACCGCGGCTCTAGTTACATACCCAGTTCCACTCTTAGGTATATGCCCAAGAGTATGTCCATACAAAAATGTGTACATGAAGGTTCATAGCAGCATTATCCAGCCAAAAAGTAGAAACAACCCAAATGTCTTGCCAGCTGATGAATGGATAAATAAAATATGGTATATTCCTAGGATGAAATAGTATTCAGCAATAAAAAGCAACGAAGTACTGGGCCAGGCATAGTGGCTCATGCCTATAATTCTAGCACTTTGGGAGGCTGAAGCAGGAGGATCGCTTGAGGCCAGGAGCTCAAGACCAGCCTGGGAAACATGGTGAGACCCCTGTGTCTACAAAAGTAAAAAATTAGCCAGGCGTGGTAGTACATGACTGTAGTTTCAGCTATTTGGGAGGCTGAGGTAGGAGGATCACTTGAGCCGCATAGTTGGAGGCTGCAGTGTGTCATGATCGTACCACTGCACTCTAGCCTGTACAACAGAGCAAGACCCTGTCTTTAAAAAAAAAAAAAAAAGAAATGAAGTACTGATACACACTACAATATGCTTGAACCTTGAAAACCTTGTGCTCTGCATTGGTTCTCTATGCCTATCTGGAAAAAAAGCATTATGCTAATTGAAGGAAGCCAATCAAAAAGGACCATATATTGTATGATTCCATTTTGAAATGTCCAGAATAGGCAAACCCATAGAGATAGAAAGTAGATTAGGGCTGGGAGAATAGGGGATTTTGGGGCATAGGCAGTGACAGCTAAGGGGTACAGGGTACCTTTTTTAGGGTAATGAGAAAGTTATAAAATTATGATGTTCACACAACTTTGTGAACTCTGAATATACTAAAAGCCACTGAATTGTACACTTTGGGTGAATTGTGTAGTATGTGAAGGATATCTCAATAAAGCTGTGAAAAATAGATAAGGAGAGCTCTAAAGAATATAGAAATAGCAAATACAAGGAGCAACTACCACCCTGGGCTGACATACAGCACCGGACAAGGAGTCCTTTTCCTCCTCTACTGCCACTACCACCCCCGGCTGAGATCCAGACTTGGTGTAGTGTCTCACTGGATGGCAGAGAAGTGACTGATGCTGCGTGGCAGAATTTGCCAGAAATCTGCCCTCTAGGGTGCTAAGGAAAGCTGTTTACAGTTAGGTGTCTCAGCTGAGGTACTCTACTACAAAACTGCCCAAGAGGGCTCCTGGGGAAGGTTGCTGACTGTGGGACCCTGGAAAGCCATGGATGTTGCTGGGGCCTGCTGAGCAGAGCACACTGGGAGCTGGGAGCCAAACCCTTTTCTTTCTGCAATGTTTCACAAGCACCCTCTACTGACAATGCTTGACTTCACTCCAGCTGGCAAAAGAAAAATATTTCAAGGGCCCAAATTAACTTTGCAGGGTAGTCAAAAAGGATGAATTTGGAGTCGAGAGGTGAAATAAGTCTGTGACTGGCACAGTGGATAATTGGGATCTCAGCATACCTGTCCCTTTTTTATTTCCTTTTGAGATCTTCAGGTTATCCTTGCCACCTTGGCTATTGTAGTTTGGAGAAGCTTGGAAGCTGTATCTTTGGGCGAGCTTGCCCTCAGCCCCATTCCCTCTAATTATGTATTTTTGGATCTCTTTCTGTTCCATTTGCTTGGTTCCCTCTTTCAGACACCAGTTATGTTTGTGGTCGACTTCCTATGATTTCCATTGCTACATGTTTTTGCTTGATTTTTTGGGTTTGTTTTGAAAACCTTTTTTTTTTTTTTTTTTTTTTGGAGACAAAGTGTTGCTCTGTCGCCCAAGCTGTCGTGCAGTGGCACAATCTCAGCTCACTGCAATCTCAGCCTTCCAGGTTCAAGTGATTCTCCTGCCTCAGCCTCCTTAGTAGCTGGGACTACAGGCACGCGCCCCCACGCCTGGCTAATTTTTGTATTTTTAGTAGAGACGGGGTTTCACTATGTCGGCCAGGCTGGTCTTGAACTCCTGACCTCATGATCCACCTGCCTCGGCCTCCCAAAGTGCTGGGATTATAGGCGTGAGCCACCTTGCCCCCCGAAAATATTTTAATTTTAATTTTTTATTTTATTTATTTATTCTTGAGACAGGATCTGGCTCTGTCTTTCAGGCTGGAGTACAGTGATGCCATCATGGCTCACTGCAGCCTTGAACTCTTGGGCTAAAGCTGACCTCAGCCTCCTGAGTAGCTGGGACTACAAGCATGTGCCACCACACCTGGCTAATTTTTGAAAAATTGTTTTGTAAAGACAGGGTTTCACCATGTTGCCCAGGCTGGTCTTGAACTCCTGGGCTCAAACAGTTCTCCCCTACTGGCCTCCTGAAGTGTTGAGATTATAGGAATGAGCCACTGGGCTGTTTTGGAAATCTTTTTAACTTTTTATTCTTTTTTCATTGTCTTGCTCATTTTTTTTTTTTTTTTTAACCATTCTTGGCTTTCATGGCTCTTACTGTATTTTCAGCAATGTCTACTTTCTTCTGTCCCATTGAAGACTTTCATTTTTGTGATGGCGTTATTTTTCTTTGTTCACTTTTTTCGGAGTGCTATTATAATTTTATTTTATTTTAAACATTTTGCTGTTTTCCTCTGAGATTTGCCTTTAGTCTCTGCCCCCAGCTCTCATTTTACAGAGCCATTCGGGGGTGGGTGGGACTGGAAGGATCTTTGTTAATGGTCTTTGTCAGTTCTATGAGGGAATTTTTTCTGTTGTGTGGTCTTCATCTGCCATGCTTCACCCTTTCCCCTTCCTGCACTAATTCCTTTCTTCCTCTTTTGTTTCAGTATTTTTGTGTAGATTCTGTACTGATTCCTTTTTATTATTATTCTACTATAACTTTTCTTGTTATTTAGAGAAGCAGTATGATATATGACTGAAACCAGATCATCTGGATTTGAATCTTGGCTCTGCCACTTATCAGCACTGTGATTTTGGACAAAATCTTTAGCTCTTTGTGCCTCAGTTTCTTCTCTGTAAAATGGGAATAAGTTCCAGAGTTATTAAGAACCTTCGGTTAGTTAATTCCTAGAGAACTTAGAACTGTGGCTGATCCACAGTAAATGCTGTATGAATATTATCAATATTAATTATTTTGTCCCTAACAGTGACTTGTAATTAGGAAGTGCACAATGCTTCTGAATATAATGATTTCATAGATTGCTTGTTAATTAACTACTTAAATCTCCTTGGTCATGCATATTGTCTAAATAGCAGGGGTGCATTCAGCAAAAACATTTCCAAAAAATTCATAAGCTTTTTCAGTAAATAAATGGTTTGGAAAGCTGGGTAATAAATACTATGTAATAATTTCTAATTATCTTGGCAAAAAAATATTTACAGGAGACATGCGCTGGAAATACTCTGTGGTTTTTTGCTCTGCATGATTTTGTCATAATTGAGTTCATATCCATTATGGCTGATATTTGAAGATCATCAGAATTCTGATATTTTAGACTAACCTAAAAATTATTGTATGTATAGTTCAGAAAATAATCATACTGTGGGATGTTTTAGGAACAGCAAGTTTGGTGTAGTTTGTTTTGGTGAGTTCAGATTTTTATACAATTTTCCTTTTTTGTTGTTGTTTTGTTTTTTTTTTTTGAGATGGAGTCTCGCTGTGTCATCCAGGCTGGAGTGCAGTGATGTGATCTCGGCTTACTGCAAGTTCCGCCTCTCAGGTTCACACCATTCTCCTGCCTCAGCCTCCTGAGTAGCTGGGACTACAGGTGCCTGCCACCACGCCCGGCTAATTTTTTGTATTTTTTTAGTAGAGATGGGGTTTCACCATGTTAGCCAGGATGGTCTCTATGTCCTGACCTCGTGATCTGCCCACCTCAGCCTCCCAAAGTGCTGGGATTACAGGCGTGAGCCACCGTGCCCAGCTTACAGTGTTCCTTTTATGGCTAATTAAGATAATCTAGTTTTCTATACCTTGTGTATTTCTTTTTTTTTTTGAGCCGGAGTTTCGTGCTCTTGTTGCCCAGACTGGAGTGCGATGGCTGAATCTCGGCTCACTACAACCTCTGTCTCCTGGGTTCAAGCAGTTCTCCTGCCTCAGCCTCCCTAGTAGCTGGGATTACAGGCATGCACCGCCACACCCAGCTAATTTTGTGTTTTTAGTAGAGACAGGGTTTCTCTGTGTTGGTCAGGCTGGTCTCGAACTCCCAATCTCAGGTGATCCACCTGCCTCAGCCTCCCCAAGTGCTGAGATTACAGGCATGAGCCACTGTGCCTGGCTCTTTTTTTCTTTTCTTTTGAGATGGAGTTTCGCTCTTGTCCAGGCTGGAGTGCAATGGTGTGACCTCGGCTCACTGCCACCTTCGCCTCTTGAGTTCAAGCGATTCTCCTGCCTCAGCCTCCCGAGTAGCTGAGATTATAGGCATGTGCCACCATGCCTGACCAATTTTGTATTTTTAGTAGAAACAGGGTTTCACTATGTTGGTCAGGCTGGTCTTGAACTCCTGACCTAAGGTGATCTGCCTGCCTCGGCCTACCAAGGTGTTGGGCTTACAGGCATGAGCCACATGCCCGGCCCCCTTATGTATTTCTTTTCAAGCATACTGTAACTGATTGAATAATCAGTTAGTCAGCAGACAGTTTTTGAGCACCTACCAGGGATAAAATGGTGAACAAAATAGACATGTTCCCTGCCTGGATCAGCCAGAATATAAATACCAAATTATTGCAAATACTTATAAAATTATAAGTGCACAGTGTAATGGGATAGGGATATATAGGTGTGGTAGGAATATATGACAGGGAGACCTAACCTGAAGCCTGAAGACAGATCATGCTTCCCTACAGAATTAAGGTTTTAGCTGAGACTTAACAGGTGAGTAAGGGTTGGCTAGATGAAGTGGTGGGATCCGGAGGGCTTCAGCCTGACATTGGGAGGTGAATAAAGCGGTGGATGGGAAGGGCTTCAGCCTGACATTGGAAGGGCATGATAAGTTGAAAACACCGAGAGAAGCTCCATGTTGCAGGCTCATAAAGAGATGAGGTGGCAAGAGATGTGGAGGAGAGGTGGGAAGGGGCCAGATATCTAGGCTTTGTTTAAGGAGTCTGGGACTTTACCCTAAACATAATGGGAAATTTATGAAGTTTAAGCCTGGGAGTGAAATAATCCTGTCACATTGGCTGCTGTGTGGAGAACTAATTGGGCAGGGGCAAGTAGGAGGATTACTAGGCTATTGTAGTAGTCCATGCAAAAGGTTATGGTGACTCGAATTAGGATGGTGGCAGTGAAGAGGGAGGGATGTGTAGCTTCAGGAAGTATTTAGGAGATAAAATTTGTAGGACTTGATTGATTATATGTGCAGGATGAGAGTGAGGAGGAGTCTAGTGTCAAGGCTAATTTCCAGGTTTCTTGTAGAAGCATCTGTGAAAGGGTTGACTTTGATTGAGACAGTAAATGCCAGAGGAAGAGGAAGTTCCTCAGGGTGAAACATCTAGATGATGAGGTATAGCAAGAAGTTAACATACTTGGACTTGGAACTCAGAAGGGTAGACTGAATATGTAACTTTTGGGATAGTGACATAGTTTGGATATTTGTTCTCTCCAAATTTAATGTTGAAATTTGATCCCCAGTGTTGGAGGTAGAGCCTAGTAGGAGGTCTTTGGGTCATGGCGGCAGATCCCTCATGAACTGCTTGGTACAGTCCCTGCATAATGAGTGACTTCTCCCTCAAAGCTGGTTATTTAAAAGAGGGTGGCAACCCTTCCCTCTCTCTCTTCCCTCCTTTTCTTTGAGAGAGAGTCTCGTTCTATAGCCCAGGCTGGAGAGCAGTGGCGTGATCTGGGCTCACTATAACCTCTGCCTCCCAGATTCAAGCGATTCTCCTGCCTCAGCCTCCTGAGTAGCTGGAATTATAGGCACGCACCACCACACCCGGCTAAGTTTTGTATTTTTAGTAGAGACGGGGTTTCACCATGTTGGCCGGTCTGGTCTCAAACTCCTGACCTCAGGTGATCCACCCGCCTCCGCCTCCCAAAGTGCTGGGATTACAGGCGTGAACCACCATGCCTGACCTCTCCTCTCCTGACATATGATGTCTGCTCCCCTTCCCCTTCTGCCATGCATGAAAGCACCCTGAAGCTCTCATCAGAAGTAGATGCTGGTGCCTTGCTTCTTATACAGCCTACAGAGCTGTGAGCCAAATAAACTCTTTTCTTTAGAATAATTACCCAATCTCAGGTATTTCATTTTTCTTTTTTTATATACCAGTCTCAGGTATTTCTTTTTCCTTTTTTTTTTAGACAGAGTCTCACTCTGTTGCCCAGGCTGGAGTGCAGTGGCATGATCTCAGCTCACTGCAACTTCTGCCTCCTGAGTTCAAGTGATTCTCCTGCCTCAGCTTCCCGAGTATTTGGGTTTACAGGCACACATCACCATGCCTGGCTAATTTTTGTATTTTGAGTAGATGGGGTTTCGCCATGTTGCCCAGGCTGGTCTCAAACTCCTGAGCTCACGCCATCTGCCTTCCTCAGCCTCCCAAAGTGCTGGGATTACAGGCTATTTTATTTTTAAACAAACTCTTCCTGCGTGTTACTATATTTGAGGCACTATGCTGATAAATGCTAGTGATTTAACAGACCTAAGTTATAGGTTCTTGTTTCAGATTGTATGCTCATTATCTGCAGAGACAGAAAAAGAGGCAAGATGTTTTCTAAATGCTATGATAGAGGTGAGCATGGGATGTTATGGAGCACAGTCATAGTGTAGGGCTGTGATTAAGGAAAGCTTCCTGAAGGAGCTAACACTTGAACACAGTCCTGAAAGTTGAGTGGCAAAGAAGGCAGAGAAACACTCTTACCACCTCTCACAGTTTCAGGGGCTGTATAAAGGTCAAATTGCTGGAGGACTGTAAAGTGTCCAGTGGATTTGGCACTTAAGAGGTCAGTGGTAAACTGACCCACAGTGACAGGTGGGATTAGAAGCCAGATTAGATCACAGAGTTGAAGAATGAATGAGAAGATAGAAGTCCTGTAAGGTGGGGCTTGCGTTTCTGTGTTTCAGTGTCCTCACTGCCTTGTGTAATCCCTAGCTCATAGTGTTTGTCCTATTAGCTTTGGATGGAAGAGAGCCACTTCCCTCTCTGGGATAAGATGCACGTATGTGGAGAGGATGAGTCCAGATCGCTGTGCTCCATCTGCCTTCTAGAGGGAGCATCTGCAACTCTTTACCTGCATACTTTTTTTTTTTTTTTTTTGAGATGGAGTTTCACTCTTGTTGCTCAGGCTGCAGTGCAGTGGCGCAAACTTGGTTCACTACAACCTCCACCTGCCAGGTTCAAGCTATTCTCCTGCCTCAGCCTCCCAAGTAGCTGGGATTATAGGCATGTGCCACCATGCCCAGCTAATTTTGTATTTTTAGTGGAGACAGAGATTTACCATGTTGGTCAGACTGGTCTTGAACTCCTGACCTCAGGTGATCCACCCACCTCGGCCTCTCAAAGTGCTGGGATTACAGGCATGAGCCACTGAGCCTGGCCTGCATGCTTTTTTCTGACCATGCAGGGAGGCCAAGTGCAGTCCCACAGCCAGAATTCTCTGTCTTAATCTACTTCTAGCATTTTTATTTTTTATTTATCTTTTTCTGTCATGGTTGAGTGCCTGATACTCTTTTTAATTTAATTAATTAATTAATTTTTTTGAGACAGGGTCTCACTCTGTCACCCAGGCTGGAGTGTAGTGGCATGGTCTCAGTTCACTGCAGCCTCCACTTCCCAATCTTAAGTGATCCTCCCACCTCAGCCTCCTGAGTTGCTGGGACTACAGGCACGCACCACCATGCCTAGCTAATTTTTATATTTTTTGTAGAGACAGGGTTTTGCCATGTTGCCCAGGCTAGTCTGGAACTCCTAGGGTCAAGTGATGTGCCTGCCTTGGCTTCCCAAAGTGCTGGGATTACAGGCGTGAGCCATCGCACCTGGCTTCATATTTTATTTTTCTAATTCAGTACTATACCAAAAGCATTTCTCTATATCATTAATTTTTTTTTTTTTAGTTTATACAACCATTTTAAGTGGCTGCATAAACTCTCATTTAGATGTTTATTTGAACATTTAGTTTAAAATTATTTTCCCTTTTTAACTTTTCATTTTGAAATAATTTCTCATTTACAAAAGAGTTGTAGAAATATTACAAAGAACTCCCATACATCCTCTTCAGCTAGCTTATTGTGATATCAGATTTCTCAATTGCAAAGTTACTCTGTTCCCCTCTCTTAATAGTAAATAGTGAGGAAATAGTTTAAAACTATTTTATATCTTATTTCTTATTTATTTATTTATGAGAGGGTCTTGCTGTGTCACTCAGGCTGGAGTGCAGTGGCATGATCTTAGCTCATTGCAGCCTCTAACTCTTGGGCTCAAGCAATCCTCCCTCCTCAGCCTCCCAAATAGCTGGGACTACAGGCACATGCCACTACGCCCAGCTAATCTTAACATTTTTTGTAGAGATGGAATTGTCCTGTGTTGCCCAGGCTGGGCAACTCGTGGCCTCATGTGATCCTCCTACCTTGGCCTCTCAAAGTGCTAGTATTACAGGCATGGGCTACCGTGCCTGGCCTATATCCCATTTCTTTTTCTTTTCTTGAGACAGAGTCTTGTTCTCTTGTCTAGGCTGGAGTGCAGTGGCAAGATCTTGGCTCACTGCATCCTCCACCTCCTGAATTCAAGCAGTTCTCCTGCCTCAGACACCCAAGTAGCTGAGATTACAGGTACATGCCACCATGCCTGGCTAATTTTTGTATTTTTAGTAGAGACAGGGTTTCCCCATGTTGGCCAGGCTGGTCTCAAACTCCTGACCTCAAGTGATCCACCCACCTCAGCCTCCCAAAGTGCTGGGATTACAAGCCTGAGCCACTGTGTCCGGCCCTGTATCCCATTTCTTGTAAAACTTGTAGGCATTACTTTTAGCATCCATTTATGTTTTTTATGTGAATTATTACTATAATGGTTCCTAAATGGTGATTTTCTAATTACATTATTCCTTCTACTTTCATCAGCTGTCATTTCACTCTGAGAGCTTTCTCCCCTCTTCGTTTATTAGATTCTTATTTAATGGATTATAATCTGTTATTATTAGTCTTTATCTTGATGCTGAATTGCTCCAAATCTTACCAGTAGGAGCTCCTAGGCTGGTTCCTTTTTCCTTTTGACCTATCCTCACTCTGTTTTCCCACTTTCAGGCACAGGTGGCCCAGACTTACCTCACGCCTTCTCTGCCCCAGCCTCGGAGTCAGCCATTCTTCCAAGAAGACCTGCTTCCTTTTTTTTTTTTTTTTTTAACAATTGTTTATTGAACTCCTGCTATATGCTATAAGATAATGAGCAAAACCAGATACAATTTCAGACCTGGAAGGAGAAAAGGGAGGTCGATATTAATCAAGTAATAACATTACTGGGGGCATTTCTCAAGTGAGAGAAGTGCACTAAGGAAAGAAATGTGATTCTATGATAGCGTAATAAAAGATCCTTGACTGGGGAGGGGCAGCATACCAGTAATTAACTGATGTGAAAAATCAGTAGAAATTTACTTGGTAAAAGTGGAAGTGGATGGCTGAGTGGGACCAGCATTCAGAAGGCAGGTGCCTGCAGAGAAAGTCATCAGTTTTAACAAGAAATGCTGTATCAGAGATGAAACTAAACTTACTCCTTATCTTTTCTTCTTGCTTCGGATATAACTTTGAAAAATCGTTTATGGGCCGGGCGCGGTGGCTCACGACTGTAATCCCAGCACTTTGGGAGGCCGAGGCGGGCGGATCACGAGGTCAGGAGATCGAGACTATCCTGGCTAACACGGTGAAACCCCGTCTCTACTAAAAATACAAAAAATTAGCCCGGCATGGTGGCGGGCGCCTGTAGTCCCAGCTACTCAGGAGGCTGAGGCAGGAGAATGGCGTGAACCCGGGAGGCGGAGCTTGCAGTGAGCCGAGATTGCGCCACTGCACTCCAGCCTGGGCGACAGAGTGAGACTCCATCTCAAAAAAAAAAAAAAAAAAAAAAAAAAAAAAAAAAAAAAAAAAAAAAAAAAAAAAAAAAAAAAATATTATTCTCGCCTTTTTAAAAAATTTTTTTAAAAAATTTTTTTTTATTTTTTTTTTTTTTTTCTCCCCAAAGACCTATGACTTCTCTTGAATATTAAGTGCATTTTTCTATCTGTGTCCTAAACCTTTTTTTAAAAAAATAATTTCAACTTTTATTTTCAATTCAGTGAGTACGTGTTCAGGTTTGTTACATGGGTATTGTGTGATGCTGAGGTTTGGAGTATGATTGATCCTGTCACTCATGTACTGAGCATAGTAATCAACAGTTCATTTTTCAACCCTTGCACCTTTACCCCTCATCCCCGTCTAGTAGTCTTCAGTATCTGTTATTGCCATCTGTGTGTCCGTAAGTACCCAGTGTTTAGCTGCCACTTACAAGTAAGAACATGTGGTATTTGGTTTTCTGTTCCTGTGTTAATTTGCTTAGGATGATGGCCTCCAGCAGCATCTATGTTGCTGCAAAGACCTGAATTCATTCTTTTTTATGGCTGCACCCTGCTTCTTGTTAGTGGAGAATAGTGTTTCAAAACCAAGATCTACGGAGGTTGTAGTGAGCTGAAATCACACCATTGCACTCCAGCCTGGGCAATAAGAGCAAAACTCCATCTTGGCAAACAAAAACAAAAACAAAACACCACCAAAATCTAGGCCCCATGTACTTGATACTTAGTCTTAATTTTTTTTTCTTTGAGATAGTATCTCACTCCGTCACCCAGGCTGGAGTACAGTGGTGCAACCTTGGCTTACTTCAGCCTCAACCTCCTGGACTCAAGAAATCCTCCTACCTTAGCTTCCCAAGTAGTTGGGGCTACAGGCACATACTACCATGCCTGACTAATTTATTTGTTTATTTATTTATTTTTATTATTGAGACGGAGTCTCACTCTGTCGCCCAGGCTTGGAGTGCAATGGCACAATTTCGGCTCACTGCAACCTCCACCTCCTGGGTTCAAGCGATTTTCCTGCCTCAGCATCCCAAGTAGCTGGGACTACAGGCGCGTGCCACCGTGCCCAGCTACTTTTTTGTATGTTTAGTAGAGACAGGGTTTCACCGTGTTAGCCAGGATGGTCTTGATCTCCTGACCTCGTGATCCACCTGCCTCGGACTCCCAAAGTGCTGGGATTACAGGCATGAGCCACCACGCCTGGCCCTGACTAATTAAAAAAATTTTTTTTTTTTTTTGTAGAGACAGGGTCCTACTGTGTTGCCCAGGTTGGTTTCGAATTCCTAGGCTCAAGTGATCCACCAGCCTCAGCCTCCCAAATTGTTGGGATTACAGGTATGAGTCATGGTGCCTGGCCCTTAATCTTAATTTTTAAATATTATTGTCATCTTCGTTTGTTGTTGCCAGTATGGGGCCATATGTATACATACTATTCGACAGCTAGATTTTTTTCACTTAGCAGTATGTTTAGACACACTTCCCTGTTAGTACATGCAGATATGGCTCATTCTTTCCAGCTGGTACATTATATTCTACACTGTTATTCTCCTGCCCTCGCAGATCCTTTATTCACCTTCGTTTCTTCTGTGTACTGGCAGCTGGTCTCTGTTAACCTGCATCACCTGGGCTTCCTCGCCTCTGGCTTCCAGCTGGGATCAGCTGATAAAAGGCACTGCCAGGAGACCTGAGGGCCAATGTTGGGAGGGGTCAGACTGTGTTTTATCCCCATTGTCCCTTGCCATGGTTCTAGTAGCAGCTGTGCTCGTTGTCTGTGATCACTGCTCTTTAGGGTGGCTTCTCTTCTCCAGCCAGCTCTTGCTGGGCTCCAGTGACACCCTTCTCTTCTTTTGCCCTTTTGGGTTGAAGGGTAGAAATAGCTTCCTGCTGTTGCTAGTCCCTGGATGCTTCACCATCCCTTGTTGATTCCTTTAAATGCTGCTCACACAGCTATAAAAAATCCTGCCATTAAATTTCCTTCAGTTTATTCCTTTGCGTATGCCATCTCTTTCCTGCTAAGACCTCAATTGATGTGATCAGGGAGACTTACCATAATTTAATTATTGGGTCCCTATTACTGGGCATTTAAACTGTTTCTTGTATCTTGCTGTTATACTCAGAGTTGCTAATGAACATTCATGTACATGTTCTTTTTAGTATTTGTTGGAGTATTGTTTGAGAAAAAAGTCATAGGAATAGAAAGACTAGGTTAAGGTATATGAATATTATAAATTTCAATAGATACTTCTAAATTGTTCCCAAAGGAGTCTACCAATTTACATTTCTACAATGTGGTTTTTTAATAGTAAAAAATTAATGGAGGCAGTACTTGTGACTTTATAAAAAATACTTTTTTTTTTTTTTTTTTTAAGAGACAGTATCTCTGTTGCCCAGGCTGACGTGCAGTAGCATGATCGTAGCTCAGTGCAGCCTCGAACTCCTGGGCTCAAGCAGTCTTCCCGCCTTAGCCTCCCAAGTAGTTGGGACTACAGGTCCATGCCACCATGTCCAGCTAATCTTAAAATTTTTTGTAGAGATCAGGGCGGGGGGCGTCTCATCTCATCATCTTGCCTAGTCTGGTCTCGAACTCCTAGGCTCACTCAGTCCTCCTGCTTCGGCCTCTTAGAGTGTTGGGATTATAGGTGTCAGCTGCCATGCTAGGCCTTATGACAAATAAATTTAATTCAGAAGTGTACAAAGGGAAAAGTAAAAGTCCTCCAAGTCTCACCTGCTTCTCATCATCCCATCCTATTCCCTACAGGTAAGCATGCTAACACCTATATAGCCTGTCAGGCCTGTCTTCCATTTTTTTTTTTTTTTTGGAGACAGAGTCTCGCTCTGTTACCCAGGCTGGAGTGCAGTGGTGTGATCTCTGCTCACTGCAAGCTCTTACTCCTGGGTTCAAGCCATTCTCCTGCCTCAGCCTTCCGAGTAGCTGGGATTACAGGCGCCTGCCACCACGCCCAGCTAATTTTTTGTATTTTTGGTAGAGATGGGGTTTCACCATGTTAGCCAGGATGGTCAGGATGGTCTCGATCGCCTGACCTCGTGATCTGCCCGCCTCGGCCTCCCAAAGTGCTGGGATTACAGGCGTGAGCCACCACGCCCAGCCCCTTTCTTCCATTTTTATATGTACATGCTTAGCATAAATTGAGTACATTTATATGTATAAAATAAACTCATTCGTATATGTGTGTTTATGTATCTCTTTCTGTTTGAGATAATGTATTTCTAGACTCTGTTCTCTTCCATTGACCTAACTTGTTTTTTCCTCTGCCAGTACCTATCTACCTTAGTAATTATAGCCTTGAGTTGGTTCAATATCTGGCGAGGCAGATTCTCATCCCATTATTTTTCATTTTAAGAAATTTCTTGGCCCTTCTTGGGCGTGAACTCTTCAGATTATCTTTAGATCCAAGTTCAGAAAATTCATGGATTTTGACTGGAATGAAACTGAATTTATAGAAAATTCACATTTCAGGAAAACTGATATATTTCCAATGGAATCTTCTCACTTAAGAAACTCTCCGGGCGTGGTGGCTCATGCCTGTAATCCCAGCACTTTGGGAGGCCGAGGTGGGTGGATCACGAGGTCAGGAGTTTGACACCATCCTGGCCAACATGGTAAAACCCCATCTCTACTAAAAATACAAAAAAATCAGCTGGGTATGGTGGCGCGTGTCTGTAATCTCAGCTACTCAGGAGGCTGAGGCGGAGAATCGCTTGAACCTGGGGAAGTGGAGTTTGCAGTGAGCCGAGATGGCGCCATTGCACTCCAGCCTGGGCAACAGAGGGAAACCCTGTTGCAGGGCGGGGAAAAAAAGAACCTCTTTTGTCTCTTTAGTTACTCAGATATTTTATGTTCTTTGGTGAAAGTCTTGCCTATTTCTTACTAAGTTTATTTTTAGTTATTTTATAGATTTTGTTGCCATCATGAATGGAATTTTTTCACTTTACGTTTTCTTTTCTTCTCTTTCTTTCTTTTTTTTTTTTTTTGAGACAGGGTCTTGCTCTGTCACCCAGGCTGGGGTGCAGTGGCACGCTCAAAACTCACTGTAGCCTCAGCCTCCTGAACTTAAGGAATCCTTCTGCCTCAGCCTCCTGAGTAGCTAGGACCACAGGTGCACACTACTAGGCCTGGCTAATTTTTTAATTTTTCTTTTTGTAGAGATAGGGTCTCATCATGTTGCCTAGGCTGGCCTCGAACTCCAGGGCTCAAGCAGTTCTCCTGCCTCAGCCTACCAAAGTTCTGGGATTATAGGCGTGAGCCACTGCACCCAGCCCACCTTACATTTTCTAATTGGTTATTGCCGGTATGGTTTTTAAGAATGTGTTGATTTTTGTAAATTAATCTTATCATAATCACCTACTTTATTGAACTTCCCATTCTAATGATTTTTTAGTATATTCTCTTGGCTTTCCTAGGTGGACAATTATCTGTAAATTATAATGTTTTGTGACACCATTATTAATATTTATATGTCATTTTTTTCTCTTATGTCATTTCGTCGCTGGGATATCTGATTGGGCTTGGTTGGGGGCCTGACCCAGGGCAGTCTCCTTGGCCAATGTTACATTTTACATTTAAGGTGTACCTGCTATACATCCTTTTACATCAAAGGGTGTATAGCGGGGTACAGTAGCAGGGTGGGTGAATTCCAGACAGACCTTGAGGATAGAAACAACAAGGCAATGTTCAATGAATAGAAAGTACAATGACTAGAGCATAGGGCACAAATGAGGTTGAGAGAAGCAAGAGATGGATTGGAGAGTAGGTTGAGGCTCCGTCAGAAGCCACTAGACTTTAAGGAGCAATTACTTTATTCAGAGAAGTTGAGAATTGAATGAAAGCTGTAAGCTGTGTTAGGCAGAATGACCCTTTAAAGATATCCACACCCTAATCCCTGGAACCTATGAATTTGTTACTTGACGTGGCACAAGGGACTTCACAGATATAATTAAGGTTATGAGCCTTCAAATAGTGAGATTATCCTGGATTATTAAGGTGGGCCCACTATAATCACATGGGCCCCAAAAAGCAAAGAAGTTTCTGCAGCTGGAAGAGAAGCAAGATATGGTGGAGGGGGAATTTGGAGAGATTCAAAGAGTAAGAGAGCCTGAAGGGGACCACATGGAAAGCATGAAAAGGACTGTAGGCATGAAGGCTGACCCCTGGCGGATAACCAGCCAGGAAACGGGGGCTTGGCCCTACAGCTGCACGAACTGAATTCAGCCAACAGCCTGAGTGAGCATAGAAGTGGATTCTTCTCCAGGGCCTCCAGAAAGGAACACAGCCCTACCAACACCTTGGTTTTGGCCTTGTGAGACTCTAAGCAAGGACCCAGCTGGGCCTCACCATACCCAGATTTTGGCCTTCAGAACTCTGAGATATTTTGTGTTGTTCTAAACTGCTAAGTTTATGACACTTTGCCACAGCAGCAGTAGAGAACGAATGCAAAGGGGTTTAAGCAGGGATATTGTCAGATTTTGTGTTATTCAAAGACTTCTTGTGCCATGTGGAAATGGATTTGGAGAATGTAAATTTGGAGGCAGGGAAACGTGTCTGTGGGAATGCTGTGATAGCACAGTCTAGGGTAGTGATTATGGGAAGGGGATATGATTTGAAATATATCTGGGAGGCAAGAGTTGCCAGAACTAGTCAGGGACCGGATGTCAGTGGTTGGGGTGGGGAAGCAAGGATGACTGCTGCTTTCTAGCTTAGGTGCTGGCTGATGATGAAGCTGTTTCTTGAGATGGGGATGAGCAGGTTGGAAGATGCCATGATATGAAAGTGATAACTCTTAAGTTGTTCTTCATTTGGAAATTCTCTCTATAGATACTTTATTTTAAGAGAGTATGTCAATAAGATGAGTGCTTTGTCTTTTAAGAACGAAACTTTTTCTTTTCTAGGTCATTTAAGAAATCGTAAATCATGTGAAGATGGGACTCTTGGTATTTGTGCGCAATCTGCTGCTAGCCCTCTGCCTCTTTCTGGTACTGGGATTTTTGTATTATTCTGCGTGGAAGCTACACTTACTCCAGTGGGAGGAGGACTCCAGTAAGTATAGTCACTCTAGCTCATCCCAGGAGAAGCCTGTTTCAGGTCAGTTACTGGTTTTTCGTGTGGCTGCAGTGCTCTCTTATTCTTCAGAGGTGGGCAACGAGAGTAAACTGAACATTTCTGGGACTTTGACTTAGACATTGCTGCCATTTTAGCTGGTATAGGCTGAGAACTTTGATGTTTTTTAAAAACTGCATGCCATGACACATCTCGTTCCTTTTACAAACTTGGTGAGAATGTGCTGTTCTTCAATAAAAACCCAAACTATACTCATACTTCTAGTTCTTGAATGCTTTTGTTCTTTCTAATTGCTGTAGCATATTGCCACTCTTATTTTTCCATTTATTGCCTTAGGGATTAGTATTGGAGTTGGTTTCCATATGCCCTTAAAACATTCATCTTTATGTTGAATTTTCAACATAATGTTGTCTCTGTTTTGTTTTCCCTAAAGAAACTTTGTCTACTAAACCTTTGTAGCCCTTGCTGCTATTGAACTTGCACCTGGCTACAATAATGGCTTATTTTCCCTACCCAGTAACTCTTAATTTTTTTCTTCTCTTTGTGCACTTTGTCTCATGTGTTACATAGTGCTTTCCACATAGCCTGAATCCCACTGATTTGGTTTCGTTTACCTGACGTGGCCTGTGTTTTGGTTCTAGGCTTGCAGTTGAAGGGCTTACGTTGATCGGCACCCAGCCTTTGAACATTGTTTTCTGGGCTGTAGCTTGAAATGTCACACAGTGACCATAGTGGTTTTCTTTTTGGTTATTTTGTCTGACTGTTACCTGAGCCTCGTGTGGGAGATAATATAAAATCAGAACAGAGTGGCCTGTTTTGATCTACAGTGATATGTCTTCTCTTAAAATTAGTTTTATTTTTACTGACATCTACCAGATACCAGTATAGAAGTCACTTGAGAAGAGAGTCAGTCTCTAGGTATGAGGTGAAAGTGAGCTGCAGTGAGTTGGAAGAAGCAGTAGGCAATTGGCCTGCTGTTGTTCTAAGACCCTAACACGGGAACTGTTACAGTGAAGTAGCTCATTTATTTCTCCCATGGCTCAAACTACTGAGGCAGTTTCAAGCCAGTTTTTAAAATATAGTGTTATATCCTTCATTTAGTGTTTTATATAGGATGTTTAAGTACATTTTAAATGCTTATAATTATCACTAATTACTTGTGTTTCAAAAGTTTACTTAAATTTCTCTGCACTGACTTATTTTTAAAACCAAGGAGACTACCCAGGATAAGGAGTGTTTATATCAGTGAAATGCAGAATTCTGTATTTAGAGGCATTCATTGTCTGTATTAGTAGTGGTGGATCCACCTGTATCAATATTGTAGATGGAAATGTGTGTGAAGAACAACGGTCTCCTTTTCTGCTAAGAGCTACTGACCTGTAGAAGACATAACCAAGGATCAGATAAGATTTTCTTAGATCAGTAGGGAACGGAATTTACTTTATGGAAGACTCATTGTGTGTCAGGCATTAGGCTAGACAATTTACAAATATAATTTCATGTAATGTAATTCTTACTACAGTTTTGTGAAGATGCCATTATTACCCCATTTTCCAGTTGAGCATACTGAAACACTTTAATTTACCAAGGTTATATTGTTGGAACTGGAATTCAATTCTGATTTCCTGTCTTTAAAACCTGTGTTTATTATTTTATTGAAAAATATAATAAATACTGAAGGCAAGACTTAATATTCTACTTGGTAAAAAGAGAGAGGGAAAGGGGCTCAGAGAAGTACTAGTAGAGAGTATCAGGAAGGGAGTGTGAAAAGAAAAGGAGGGAAAGATAGAAAGTTATCAAAAGAAGACAGAGAGGCTTATTAGGTTTGAAGGTGACAAGGTGCTACTCACTTGGGCTGTAGGATTCAGAAGTTTATTGCTAGTTATCTGCTGTCCTTTCCATTAGTTGTTAGCTGACTAACCAGTATTTATAGCTTTTCTATTCTGACTCCTAAGCCTTTTAGATGTTTGACTTTGAATAGGTTGTTTAGACCATAGCATACTGTTTTCTGTGCTGTAATATCAGAGAACAGAGTAATAGGACCCACCTTGCATGGCTTACTAAGTCAGACAGGTCCTCCATTTTTTTTTTTTTTTTTTTTGGAGCTGAGGTCTCACTCTGTTGCCCAGGCCAGAGTGCAGTGATGCAGTCATAGTTCACTGTAATCTCGACCTGCCAGGCTTAAGTGATCCTCCTACCTCAACCGCCCGAAGTAGCTGGGACCACAGACTCACACCACCATTCCTGGCTAATTTTTGTATCTTTTGTAGAGATGGTGTTTTGTCATGTTGCCCAGGCTGGTCTCAAACTCCTGGGCTCAAGTGGTCTGCCCGCCTTGGCTTCCCAAAGTGGTTGGATTCCAGGCATGAGCCACTGTGCTCGGCCAGAGAGGAGTCCTTTACTTAGAGTCAAGCTGAAGGAGCGTCACAATCCCGAAGACTGTTATGTTGTGAAATTTAGGCTGTGTTTTAATAATATGATGATAAGATGAAATAGTAATTTATTGAGTATCTACTGTATATCCATAACATAGCAGGGTCTTTATATTCAGAATCTCATTTGATCCTTGTAGTTTTTATTGGTTATTATTTTCCTCATTTTACAGATATAAGAACTGCGGCTTCAGAGAGGCTGTGTAATCAAGAGTTTGTATGCCTTTCATCTGAAGAGGTTGAGGACAATCCCAAGTTAGAAAAATAAATGTCTTTAGCATTACTTTTCCTTAATCTTTAGAATATTAATGAGTTACTCAGATAACCTATTGGAATTTCTTCATGGTCGGGGGAAGAGGCTAGAGTTGGTTTTTGGTTTTGGTTTTTGATACAGGGTCTCACTCTGTCACCTAGGCTAGAGTTTTATGGTGTGATCTCGGCTCACTGCAGCTTCAACCTCTTGGGCTTATGCCACCCTTCCACCTTAGCCTCCCAAGTAGCTGGGACTACAGGTGTGCACCACCACGCCCAACTAATTTTTCAAAATTTTTTTGTAGAAATGGGGTTTCTCCATGTTGCCCAGGCTGGTCTCAAACTCCTGAGCTCAAGTGGTCTTCTTACCTCCGTTTCCCAAAGTGCTGGGATTACAGGCAGGAGCCACTGCGCTTGGCCTGAGGCTAGAGTTTTTTATTATTAAATTATTCATTCAATAAGCAGTATGTTCTTATTATGGTCCATGTACTGTTCTGGGTAAACTGGATATAAGATGAACATAGGCCTTCATACTCTTAGCCTATAATATGAGAACAAAACAAAACAATTATTATTATATATTGAGCTCTAAAAGAGCAATCTGTGTGAAATGCTGTGTTGGAGCATAGAATTCCTTCCAGATAGAAAATTTATGTTTTCATTAATTCCAAGGTGTGTTGTAGAGGACTACAAACTGCTTTGCCTTGGGTAGTTTAGAGACACATGTGACCTAGGGCTTGGTCAGGTTGCCAAGACTTGGGTCAAATGCTTAATGTGAAAAGCTTCAAGTATGAGAATAGTTATCAATCTGTTTTAAAAATTACTGTAGAATTATTATACATGTAGTATGATAAAATATGTATGTATACATATATTTTTAATATATATTTTAATTAATGAACAAATCACCAGTATCTGGAGTTAGAAAGAGTTGGGTGTGCTTGTTTCTTCGTCTCCAAAATGAAGATAAAAGACTTATTTCTCAGCCGGACACAGTGGCACACACCTGTAATCCCAGCACTTTGGGAGGCCGAGGTGGGCAGATCACGAGGTTGGGAGATCGAGACCATCTTGGCTAACACAGTGAAACCCCGTCTCTACTAAAAATACAAAAAATTAGCCAGGCGTGGTGGCGCGCACCTGTAGTCCCAGCTACTTGGGAGCCTGAGGCAGGGGAACCGCTTGAACTCGGGAGGCAGAGGTTGCAATGATCTGAGATCGCACCACTGCACTCTAGCCTGGGCCACAGAGCAGGACTCAGTCTCAAAACAAACAAAAAAAAGACTTATTTTTCTTTGCTCTGATGTCTTGTGTAGGAGTTGGGTAGTTGCCTCTTTACAATAGCCCTCATTTCACAATGGTCCATTTCATGGAAGCCTTGCATATTTTTATTAATTTAAAATTTTATGTATTTCTGCTGGGTGTGGTGGTTCACATCTGGGATTCCAGCACTTTGAGAGACTGAGGAGGGAGGATTGCTTGAGGCCGGGGGATTGCTTGAGGCCAGGAGTTTGAGAACAGCCTGGGTAACATCGCGAGGCCTTGTCTCTATAAAGAAAATTAAAAGATATTATCCAAGCATGGTGGTGCACACATACACAGTGTGTGGGATAGCTACTTGGGAGGCTGAGGTAGGAGGATCACTTAGGCCCAGGATTTTGAGGTTGCAGTGAGCTATGATTGTGCCACTGTACTCCAGCCTGGGCAACAGCATGAGACCCTGTCTCAAGAAAGAAAGAGAGAGAGAGAGAGAGGAAGGAAGAGGGAGGGAGGGAGAGAGAGAGAGAAAGACAAAGGGAAGGAGGGAGGAAAGAAGGAAGGAAGGAAAGAAAGAGGAAGGAAATTAATTTCTGATTAATAAAGTAGATCTTTCATAGGATTAGTTTCCTGGGCTGAGTGAGGTGGCTCATGCCTATAATCTCAGCACTTTTGGAGGCTGAAGTGGAAAGATTGATTGAGCCCAGGAGTTCAAGACCAGCCTAGGCAACATAGGGAGACCCTGTCTCCACAGAAAAATAAAAAAATTAGCTTAGTGTGGTGGTACATGTCTGTAGTCCCAGCGACTCGAGAGGCTGAGGTGGGAGGATTGTTTGAGCCCAGGAGGTCAAGGCTGCAGTGAGCTGTGGTCATGCCACTGTACTCCAGCCTGTGTGACAGAGTGAGACCCTGTCTCAGAAATTTTTAAAAAATTACATTTATGCTACTGTGTTTATCAATTATTTCAACTCTCTTTGTGTTCTTCCCCATATTTATAAAAGATTATAACCAGACAAATTATAATATATGCATTCAAATGATAAAGTACACATTGTTGATCTGATTGCTGTGGAGAATACTCTC